CTATTGGAAATCCTGCTATAGGTGGGATTACCGTTTTATTCTCTGCAAATCCCGTTAAGGATACTTTATCTGGGGCAAATCTTCACAGAATTGGCATTCTCATGGATAGTTCAGCGTATTAAACCAAATAAAAATACCATCCCTTTCCAAATACTCAAAGAATCATTATGGAGCAGAGAAAGGGATGGTCTTTGAAGAGAATTTCTGGCATACACCTTAATTCTCCTTAAAATCCTTTCTAGAAAGCCGACTAGGAGCTCTTAACCTTTATAGGGATCGAAGCAGATTTGCACATGATTGTAATTACAGGCAATCGTCTAAACCCGCTCGCTCCGCCCGGATTTGGATACCCGCGAGGGCCGTTGCAATACGACTTGAACCCGCAGTACATGGGAGGAGCGAGGAAGACCGGTGGACGACGACCCAAGGAATTCGAAATGGGACCGGTAGGATTTTTAGGCTATTCTTCGGTTAGTTAAAGGTTCATCTTGGGTAATTTTTGCCTCCCTTCTGTCTCGTTCGTTATTGTGTTTTGGTCGTTTTTGCTGTAGTCAGAACCCGATGTATTGTAAGTCCCGCTAACTTGAAGTATTGCTGGCTTTGGAATCCTTGTGCCTGCTCTATATATCTTTCCTCAGTTGAATTGATGCTTCTAAATCAGACAACATTTGAATGTCTCCAACAGTTCTCTGTTGGGCTCTGATTCTGATTTGTATTAATCGCGGCGAGCTCATCTCTTTGGTCACTGATTGTTTGGGTTTAACTTGTAGTATGGTAACCTGCTGTTAAGTTTTGCTAGAATTCTTTGGCATGATTGTCTCCCAAAAATAGAAAGAATTTTGGGAAGTCCTCAAAGGGATCTCTTCCCAATCTCAGTGCCTTAGAAGCATTCTTTCTACTGAACGGGATCCCCTATTTGAGAGCGCTTTTTTTTGCTGAAGATTTATGGAAATTGTTGTAGATTGGAAATGAGAATCAATCAGTTTGACTTCAACCTTAAGTGCGCATTTTACCGCTCAGTTCTCTTTGTATCGTTTGGGTCTGCAGGTCTGTCTGAAAGGTTTTCCCAGCTTATTTCAAATCTGCTCTAGCTTCTCCCTTATTTAGATTCCCTCA